TTGAGTGTCGACATAACGAGGCATATCGACGGTAAAACATAATCCCAAAAAATTCCTTTAAAAATATCTAAAAAAAAAAAATCAGATTTTAGGTTAGAAATAAATAAAAATTTAATATGATTTTATTAAAAATATTTTAAATTAGGAAGAAATAGTGATATATCTTTTAGTTTTGATGAGTCGCTTTGTGGTAGTACATTTTGTATTGTCTTTACGTTGATATTTAATTATATATAAAAAATAATTTAAATTATTAGATTACAAGTTAAGCTATTCAAATGAATCAAGTAATAAATCGATAATACTTGGTTTTATTATAAAAATAATAATTTGATTTGATGGGCAATTAAGCGGAGTCTTCAATTTATATATTTGTATATCAATTTCGTATGTTTTTTGAATCAAATATTAAAATTGATCTTACGATAAAGTATACTGATATATCATATATTATCAAATAAATCAAGTAATAAATGGATCAATTAATGTATATACTTGGTTCTATCATAAAAAAGAATGATTTGATTTGATGGGCAATTGATCGGATTCTTCGATTCTATATATTTATATATCAATATCATAAATTTTTTAAATCAAATATTAAAATTGATCTACTGGTACATCGTATGTTATTGGTGCATTAATATGGTGATAGTTATATTCGAATCATTATGAACAACATATGTCAAAGTTAGCTTTTCAAGCAAGTAGGAGAGTGATATATATTAGTATGGAGCTTGGAGAATGTTAGAACGTCTATTTTCGTTATCGATTTACTATTTCGTATTATAAGATTAATTACCATATTGTTGCTTAAAAAAGAATGATCAATTATCATCGTATTATTGTTGGTTATAATATCCTTCATCATATAATGGTTATATTCTTAATCAAAATATATCTTACTATTATATATATATATATATATATATATATATATATATATAGAGAGAGAGAGAGAGAGAGAGAGAGAGAGAGAGAGTAGTAAAATTTGAGGAATCGAGAAAGTAAATAAAAAACCATGGGAACTAATATTATGTGAGACATTTATTATTCATTGATAAGAAGGGATGTGCATAAGTGGAAGTGAAGGTTTGAACAAAAACTAGAGCATCAAATTCTAAGATTGATACATATTTTATTCAGAATAATCTTTTGAAGTGTCCACATGAGCATGTTCTACATGTGAAAACCAATTTTCATTCAAATAACTTATTTATATGCCTATGTTGATATTTACGGATATTAGTCAATATACCATCTGAAAATTGAAGTATTGAATGTAGAAAGAGTTCAAAATGGTGGATTTGGATCTCATGACTTATTTCTCAAGTAATGAAGCCAAAGGCAAGAGTTTGCTACTCTGCTTCACAAAGTGGGCAAACAATAATAATATATTGTTTTCTTGGAATTCATCGTCAATAAATTTATTGTACAAAAATCTTAAAAGTTATATTTGAAAAATATAAAAGCAGCAATATGAAATAAATTTTAAAATTAAGTTAGGCTTTTGACATAATAGAAAACTGTAAGAAGAAAAAAAAGAAAAAAAAGAAAAGAGGCTCATGGTTTAGTATCCACTGGGGCTACTGCACATGAGTTGAGATGTGATTAGTCGAAATCAAGGGTTTAGATGGGACCAAATCCATACTATTTTCCCTAGTTTAGTATCCACTCATCCATACTCCCAATTCTTCCGCAACGAAACAAGCCGAGTGGAGCACGAGAAGAACGAATTCCAACAACAGGAGTGCGTCCCGTACCAGCGAATTCACGCAGGCAAACAAACAAACACCTGGTAAGTCCACAAGGC